GTACGAGAAGTTCATTCTGGAGCACACCGGTATTCGTCTCATCGAGCCCGAGCTGTTCAAGGGCTACGACCCCAAGCAGAAGCAGCTTCTGCAGGAGATCGTCATCCAGGAGGACCTGGAGCCGTTCGAGGCCTCCAAGGAGACCGCTGAGGAGTTCAAGCGTGAGCATGGTGACAAGGTCGAGATCTTCGAGATCCCCGAGTCTGGCGAGTACACTGTCCGCCTCCGCAAGGGTGCCAACCTGCTCATTCCCAAGGCTCTCTCCTTCGACCGTCTCGTTGCTGGTCAGATCCCCACTGGCTGGGATGCTAAGCGCTATGGTATCCCCGACGATATCATCGAGCAGGTCGACCCCGTGACCCTGTTCGTCCTTGTCTGTACCGCCGAGTCTATGCTCTCTGCTGGTATCACCGACCCCTACGAGTTCTACAAGTACGTCCACCTCTCCGAGGTTGGTAACTGCATTGGTTCCGGTATCGGTGGTACCCACGCTCTGCGCGGCATGTACAAGGATCGGTACCTTGACAAGCCCCTGCAGAAGGATATTCTGCAGGAGTCTTTCATCAACACCATGAGTGCATGGGTCAACATGTTGCTCCTGTCTTCGACCGGTCCTATCAAGACTCCCGTCGGTGCTTGCGCTACTGCTGTCGAGTCCGTTGACATTGGTTACGAGACCATTGTCGAGGGCAAGGCTCGTGTCTGCTTCGTTGGTGGTTTCGATGACTTCCAAGAAGAAGGCTCTTACGAATTCGCCAACATGAAGGCCACCAGCAACGCCGAGGACGAGTTCGCTCACGGTCGTACCCCCCAGGAGATGTCCCGTCCTACCACCACTACCCGTGCCGGTTTCATGGAGTCGCAGGGTTGCGGTATGCAGCTCATCATGAGCGCTCAGCTTGCCCTCGACATGGGTGTCCCCATCCACGGTATCATCGCCCTGACCACCACTGCTACCGACAAGATTGGTCGTTCCGTGCCCGCTCCTGGCCAGGGTGTTCTCACCACTGCCCGCGAGAACCCTGGCAAGTTCCCCTCCCCCCTGCTGGACATCAAGTACCGCCGTCGCCAGCTTGAGCTTCGCAAGAAGCAGATTAAGGAGTGGCAGGAGTCCGAGCTGCTCTACCTCCAGGAGGAGGTCGATGCCATGCAGGCCCAGTCTGACGAGTCCTTCAACGCCGCCGAGTACATGCACGAGCGTGCCCAGCACATTGAGAGTGAGGCCGTTCGCCAGGAGAAGGATGCCCAGTTCAGCCTGGGCAACAACTTCTGGAAGCAAGACTCGCGCATCGCCCCCCTGCGTGGTGCCCTCGCCACCTGGGGTCTCACCGTCGACGATATCGGTGTTGCCTCGTTCCACGGTACCTCGACTGTTGCCAACGACAAGAACGAGTCCGATGTCATTTGCCAGCAGCTCAAGCACCTTGGCCGTAAGAAGGGTAACGCCGTCATGGGTATCTTCCAGAAGTACCTCACCGGTCACCCCAAGGGTGCCGCTGGTGCCTGGATGTTCAACGGTTGCTTGCAGGTTCTGGACTCCGGTCTTGTGCCCGGCAACCGCAACGCCGATAACGTGGATAAGGTGATGGAGAAGTTCGACTACATCGTCTACCCCAGCCGCAGCATCCAGACCGACGGTATCAAGGCCTTCTCCGTGACCTCGTTCGGTTTCGGTCAGAAGGGTGCCCAGGTCATTGGTATTCACCCCAAGTACCTGTACGCTGCCCTTGACCAGGCTCAGTACCAGACCTACAAGAACAAGGTCGAGTCTCGCCAGAAGAAGGCTTACCGCTACTTCCACAACGGCCTGATCAACAACAGCATCTTCGTTGCGAAGAACAAGGCCCCTTACGAGGACGCCCAGCAGAGCCAGGTCTTCCTGAACCCCGACTACCGTGTCAGCGTGGACAAGAAGACCTCGGAGCTGAAGTACTCGACCACCCCGCCCAAGGCTGTTGAGAAGGAGAGCACCCGCCAGATAGTGGAGTCCCTCGCCAAGGCCAACGCCGCTGGTGAAAACTCCAAGGTTGGCGTGGACGTTGAGAACATTGACGCTGTCAACATCTCCAACGAGACCTTTGTCGAGCGCAACTTCACCTCGTCCGAGCAGGAGTACTGCCGCAAGGCTGCTTCCCCCCAGGCCTCGTTCGCCGGCCGCTGGAGCGCCAAGGAAGCCGTATTCAAGTCGCTCGGTGTCACCAGCAAGGGTGCCGGCGCTGCCCTGAAGGAGATTGAGATCGGAAGCGATGCCAATGGCGCTCCCGTTGTGAACGTAAGTTTTTCTTTTGTTTTATCTTCCCCCACCGACATTCTCGATCGACATGATCAGCAACGCTAACGGGAGATCTCCATTTTTAGCTTCACGGCGCCGCCGCTACCGCCGCCAAGCAAGCCGGCGTCAAGCAGATCACCGTCAGCATCAGCCACAGCGACTCGCAGGCCGTGGCCGTGGCCGTTTCGCACTTCTAGATCTTTGTATAGATGCTCGGAGATCGCCTCTGGTGAAATGTTGATGCTGATGTTGATGTGACGTGATGTCTGATGTCTTGCATTGTTGAGTTACCATTATCTTAAACAGCCTTGAGAGAAAGCGGAATGCAGAGAGGCATAACAGCGAGAGAACAAAGGTGAGAATACACATCCACTGCAAAAAGCAGGGTATACTCGTCTTGGAGGAGTGGTCTCTTGGCGTCTTGAAGTGATTTACACTTTTTCTTTTTCTTTTTTTTCCCTTTCGAGACGTGACGATTGTTATTTATGCCTTGTGTGTTCGTCTTATGTTTTCATTTCCATTTTCATTTTCATTTTTGTTTATTAGATTCGAGCCAGCTTCGTCTCCTGGCTCGGTGGTGTTTATAATGGGAGTAATGATATGTCATAATTTCGTTCTAGAGTTTACAGTCTTTCCCAAGTCAACCTGAACTTCAGTAATTCAATAGCATAGTATAACACAGTAGCCATATAGTCGGAGGTTAGAAATGAAGCCGGTGGTCTTGGGACTACTTGTATCGAACACGGCCCTTGTGTCTTGGTGGGAGCTGCCACTCAAGGCCGTTGAGACTACAACATGTCCGACATGCGTCTCTATCTGATTGCGAGGGAATGGATTGGCAGAGCATGGATCGACATGCAAGTTTGAGTGGCTGCTAATGTTCATTCAGTGTCTCAAATCAAATCGCATTGAATGGTGTTTATTGTATCAATTCCATTCTCTTCCATGCTTGGTGCCACCAGCCAATTCCTAGGAAACACAGTCCCCTGCAGATTTCCGAAAGAACGCACGTTTAGAAGATAGATATCTATTCAGTGCCTTCACAGACTCTAGGTATTCAATTCTAGTTACTGCGAGCTATTCCAAGTACATGACTTGTCTCCCTAGCGCAACGCTTGGTCTGCAACAACGCCAAATTCCTCTCTGTCAGAACCTCCACGGAAGAGATACCTCGGCCCTCCAAGATACAACCACGCTCGAATTGGCATCGTGGGTCCACCCGTCTTTCAAAGGCAAACCAGGGTTTCGCATGGATGGACCAACGGGGATCACTCGGATTACGTCCTGGTCCCAGATCCATCCAGCGGGTCAGAAGAAGACACACTCCAAAATCCTCCATTTTGAAGTCAAGCTTCCATGAAGTATCACACCTGTCACACCTCCCTTCTTCGCAAGCAATCCTTGGAGCGGGACTTTCTATCCCTCTTGCGTAGCGCGCGAGAGCGTATGAGCGGCGGTTCTGCAAGTTCTCGACCTTGGAGTGCACACATATCTTCATAGGCGGTATACCAGCTTGATTAGAGAAAAACCGCCAGCAATCCTCTCGAGAAGCGATAACGTATTTCTGGATACGTAGGCACAAGCTCGGTTGCGAAGGACAAATTCGTGCTTCCATTGAAAAGAAAGTTGAAATGTAGGCCGTCGAACACCTTACCCTAGAACTGCCTGAATCTCTATCCATGAGATAGGAGTCGAGTAGTTCATAGCGAAGTGATCGTACTGAAATGCCGAACTTGGGACCATGATAGAATCGTCTCATGGCCAGATGAACGTGCGCAAACTGGAGATCGTAGATATGACACCCGTAAGATTCCAGTCTCAGTGAATGGCAGGAAAAATGGTTTGGCGTCGGCACAAGCCTGAGTGGTATAGGTGCACCTGCAAGACCAGCAACATCAAGTGTTGTTGAACTCAATTCCTGGTCAGCCCAGGCTGGATCACAGACTTCATTGTCGTCAAGAGTCACGAACGGATGCCAGGGAAGAAGATTCGGTTCGTCGTTCTGCAGAAGCACAGGATCTCGCCAAGGGCGGATTTTCATGCATTTAAAGCAGATACAGTAATTCGGCAGGTCACGACAAAGTCTGGACAGAAACTCAACTGAGTGCTCAGAGCGCAGGAATGTAGATAGCTGTTGAAGTGAATAACAGTGTTTGACAATTTTCATCAGTGAATGACTGCACAAGGCCAGACAAACTGTATCAATTGCGGACAGGGACTTAGATATTTGGAGGATTAGCTCCACGGGAAGATCGAGGAGCCCGGTGGGGGTTTGTGAAGAACTCATGTTTGCTGGCACTAGTGAAACATAGTGATTGAAAGGTGTGAAGAAGGAAGACAAGATAGAGAATGAAAGAAGAGGGATTTGATGCTGAAAAGAACGAGCCGGAACGGGAGTCCTTTCAGGGTGATGGATTGAGAATAGCAATCATGGTATATTCCAGTCTCTTACACCCCAATGACCAGTTGCAATTGCCTTGAAACAATACAATAGCAATTATTTGTAGAGAAAATATTGGAATGATGAAGGAAATGTCCGCAAGTAGGCCCTGCTAGCCCTCGACTTGGGAAAATGGAGATTGTATAGATGAAGCAAGGCTTTCTGTCCTTCATTGCACATTGAAGAGCATTACTCGGTACAACGAAGTCTTAACCAGATCCACAATGCTAAAAAGGCTAGTATTTTGGTATTTACAACACATAAACGTACATTTCTCAAACACCATCATCACTTCGAGTTTATCGCCGCCCGATTCAGGGGCCCCCAGTTCGCACGGGGGTTGAGCTGATATCGCACCAGGCGCTTCGTCGAATGCGCAGCCGATGCCTCTCGGCCGAGGGCGGCATCAAACTTCACCTCCAGCGTGCTGGGGTGTGCCTGCTCTGCTGGTCCATCGCTGGTAGGCTTCTCCTGCACATCGGCTGGTTGGGCTTGGGTCACAAAGGACTGCCGAGACCCGGATCTGTACAGAGAGGCCTCGACCTTGGTGACCAAGTCGCTAATGTCTTTTCCAGACTCAACAGCGGCAAGAAGCTCACTCTTCAGCTGTGATAGCCAAGGATCTTCACTGCTACCCTTGCGTAGGTTGTCACGGCTCTTAGCCATGATAGCGGCGCCGGCGGTACCGGGCTTCAAGGATGTCGCTTTCACGGGAGAGTGTTGGCGGACCCATTCGCGCATGATTTCCCAGACAACGCTCCAGGGGGCGTCGGTTCGAATAGAATTTGGTTTGGCGTGGCTACGGGTAGAGCGATACCCGACAGAGCGAAGAGCACCGCGGAACTCGTCCAGTCCAACGGTTGAGCAGTGGAGGACCTTTGCAAGTGCGCTCAGGGAGAAATAGAAGGGGTGCGATTCCTGGAGGGCCGGGTTCATGCGTGGAATAATAGCGGGGTAGTCATTTTGCTCTCTGGCGATAGACTCGGCAGCATCAGTGTCGGACTTTGCTTGCTGCTGTTGGGCAACGGACTTGCTGAACGAGGGACTCAGGTCCAAGTCCTCTTCCATCGCGGTGGTAAGCATCCCCTCAATACGAGGAATAGTTTGATATATCTCCGGGTCCAGCTTTGGAAGTATATCCAGAATTCGCTGGATGAAGTGGGGGTTATGAAGCGGGCCAGCCCACATTGGACCCGCAAGATGTGTTTTGAAGCCGCAGTGCTCACAGTAAGTATTAGCCGTCGGGCCCTGAGCCAACTTATAGTGGTACAGAGGGTTTCCTTGGCGATTAAGCTTCTCTTTAGACGCAGCGAGTGGCTGGATAGTCCATGCACCGCATCCAGAATCACAATTATACACAACCATGGAGTTGCTAGCAGTGAACTTGACTTGTGCGGGGGAACGAGACACGCGCACAAACACACGGGCGTAGAAATCGATCGAGAGCGAAAGCAGAGGCTCAATTGCAATTCCGTACTTGGCAGCGGACATGGCCAGACTGTTTAAGATGAGGCGCAAGCCACCTTCATGAGAGTGCAAGCCCTTGATCGGAGTGCCACCGTAGAGGGAAAACGCCTTCTCGGCGTAACCGGTCGAGGCCCAGACACCCGCATCGGTACAGGTGACACAGAGCAGACCACCATCCTTGACTCCCTGAATGGCTGCATCCAGGAAGGGAGCCGCGGTTCCGTAAGGATCCAGGTCGATCACATCGAATTTGCGGGATGGATCACTGCTGGTGCCGTACATGTAGGCGCGCGCATCGCCCAGGTTCGGCGTAATACGGTCCTGGAGCTTGTTGTACTCGATATTCGTCTTCATTGACTTGATGGCAGATTCTGATAGATCGTTTCCCACCACCTTAGACACAGCTGGCAATTCAGAGGCATATCGCAGGGCGCGCAGACCCGTCGCAGAGAGGGCGTCGAGGACTGTAAACGAGGGCGTGTAGGTCGAATCGGGCTGTGCCTCGGACGTCTCGATCGGCGCGGGCACAGATTGCTCGGTAGTCTCGGGCTTTGCTGCATTTTCGCCTTCTGTAGACGATGGGTTAGGTGCCTGGTCGTCGGACGAATCCTCGCGCTTGCGCTTCTTTCCCTTGTTGGTACCATTGCCTGCGGCGCGTCTCTTCAATTTCTGATCCGCTTTTTGTCTCTTCACATCCATCGCATGCTCGCTGAATGCGCGGATTGCGAGAACACTCAGGTCGCGATTGAATTGCTGAATGGGGTTGTAGAAGACCGATTGGCTCTCGTCGTCGGCTGCGAGATCCCTCCTGGTGCCCTTGGAGGCGGCTTCCTGGGCTGGTGGGTTGAGGATATATGCCAATCCCTCTTTGATCACATTGTAATCAGCACCCTGGTAGTTCACCAGCTTGCTGGTGGGGGTAGTCGAGTTCATGGCTTTCGGAGTATGACAGAACGGTCTGCGGGCGGTCCAAGCAGTTCGGAGTGGGGAGGGTGCGTGAAGGGTGAATGGTAGATTAAATGAGCATCTTGTGGCGAAGGAGGAGAGCGACAGGTAATATCGCGGGCCCATGGACTTGTTCCCAGAGCGCAAAGACCAAGACGACACCGAAAGTGGTGGAAATAGTTGGTCGTCGACGATTTGGTCGGTTCGAAAAAAGATTCCCCGCACGGACCATGTGACTCCACTCTACTGTTCCAAAGCATAACACTCTCCACTCTCCACTCTCCACTCTACACTTGACACTTGACACTCATCACATCCCCAAAGTTCTCAATGCTCAAGTCTTTCATTTTCTACGAGATGTGTTTTGATCACTCCGTCAAGTCCACTCAACATTTTTGCAAGTTTTATCAAGAACTCGAACATCCGGATATTCTGCCTCGAAGCCGCTAATCCTGATACTTACATCTAGTCTTCCACCACGAATGGCAGTCCCTCTGGTGATGCTCCTGATTCAATGAGGAATCCAATTTTAAGAGCTTAATTCCCGCTATGTTTCTGCCGTATCCGAGTCCTCGTCATTCTGGCAATGGCGTTTCATCACGCGCCACAGAAACGAGTCTGTACCATGCTGCTCTCGGACTCTGGCAACCATCTCACTCGTCACCTGGACTGAAAGGCTACTGTTCAAGAGCGTCTCCATTAGAATTCTATCTCCCCATGAGACTGCGTCGGAACCTGTAACGGCCTCTAGCACTTGTTGGCCAAACTGGGAATCATCAATCCGGTCTACCAAGAACCCTATCGTCTCCGGTGCTACAGACGGGACAGTAGCGGCTGCTTTGAATATCTCAACGCAAACTTTGATCTCGGGGCTGCGATCCCAAAGCCATCGAAGCAATTCCGGTCCACATTGCCTATTTTTCGCTGCGGCAATCAGGATTTCGCGGGTCACGACAGCGTCTTCCAGCTGGAGAAGGGTCTTCATCCCGTCCAGGCTTCCCTTGGAAGCTGCCTTCAAGAGCATTGAGTTAGTGGCATGCGTTATTGATCGACGATCAAAGACTAGCTTGATCACTTGGGAACTTCCCGAGGCCGCGGCCTCAACATTCTCGTCGGTGAACTCGAAAGGTCCGAAGTGTGCCTCAAGCATTCGAAGGATTTGCAGGCCCGAATGAATATTCTGTACCACTGCATTGATAACGTCGGCGGATGGTGCTTCAATTGGAACCTCTCGGTCCGTCAAAGCCCTTGTCATCTCATGTCCGAATCCAATATTACTGACTGCCCCGATCAACACTTGCTCGGTGATGCATTCTGTGCCGTGTCGGTTCAATAGCTGCGGCACAAGCTCCCCATAATTCATATTCGCTAATGCCATTCCAACCACGGCATCGGTGATCTCTAGATCTCGCTCATCATTGAGGAGCACGACGAACAGGTTGTTGCCGAAATGCCCATCTCCTGCCAGACGAAGCAATGTTGACTCCGGCACTGGCATATTAGGCTTCAAGTTTAAGATAAATCGCAAAGTCTCCATTTGCAAGCAATTCCCAATCATCCTCAACCAGGTCTCATTATTGATAGGCTGGCGTGATTGAGATACCAGGAGTTCTAGTATCTGTTTCGCGTCGGCTTCAATATTCCCGGCGGCTGCTTCGAATAGCTCAGGCGTAATTTGATCAGTCCCACCCGCAGCATCCAAAATCAGGGGGAAGGTCGCTGCTTTACCCCATTCAGCCGCCTCTCGAAGCAAAGAGGGAGTAACCGGCCATTTATGAGCGAGAAGAGTCTTCACTACCTTGCCGGTGCTATCGTTTTGAAAGGCCTGCATCACAACACGTTCTGTGAAATGAATCTGTTCAGCACGCTTGAGAAGAAGAAGCAGCAAAGGCATGACCTGCTCCTCCATTTCAAGGTCACCAGCTTTATTAGCCGCCTCGGCGATGGCTTCACAGGTGATGACTGCCGGGTCGGTTTTGTTGACCAATTTAATACAAAACTCAGCATCAAAAGGCCAAAACTTCATGATAGTGATTAGTATGTCCGAAGAAATTTTCATCTCAGGTTCTCGTGTCACAAAGGCTTTGATGGCACCGTGGCTTTGCGAACATTTTCGAATCATCTCCTCCGTGATGCGCAGGTCTTGGTTGTGGTCCAGCAACATGCCGATAATCTCTTCATTCAGGTATCTTGCGTTGAGAATCAGCTTTTCTGTGATTTGAGACGGTTCGACAAATTGTAGTAACCAACGAACGAGGGCAGGGTCCGCGTAGTGAGTGGTCCTTCGGCGAAATTTGGCCAAATGGTTCAGCACATATTCTCGCAGTTTTGCATCCCCTTGCGAGCCTATGAGCAAATCTGCGATTGAAGCATGACCATTTCTCAAAGCAGAAAGAGCACCTTCTTCTTTCACTATATCATCCAGGCCATGGTTCAAGGTGACACGAACGATCTCATCGAATCCAAAATCACATGCAATCAAGAATGCTCTGTCGTGGGGGCTTTGGTAATTTCTCATGATCTTTGCCATATCATCGCCAGTCCAATCATGTAGCGAGAGAGCCCAGCAATTCAGGGGACAATTGTCGTCGGGATCGTCCAAGAGAACGAAATGCAACAACCTGCGAAGGTTTAAATGCTCTGCTGATCGATTCTGCTCACCAGAAAGCACACAGTGCGCATCCCAGAGCCTCAGAGAGTAATCATGAATGCCTTTTTCGTTTGATCTGATTTCGGAGAAGGGGACGATACCAAGAGGAATGACTCCTAGTTGGTGGGTGAATTCTTTCGCGTTAGGTGAGTCACTTGCACAGATAAGCGTGAGGAGAGTAACCTCCGCTGCGAATGTGTTCGTCCACTCGGTCGAATAATCGGGCATGTTCTCGAGGAACTCGCGTACAGAGAGATGCGCGAATCGGAAGATTCGATCTCCTTCTTCAGTCGTGGAAGATATCACAAAGTTGCTGAGAAGATCCAAGATGAACTCTTCGTCTAGATCGTCAGCGTCCAGGTCTGTAAAGGCTGTAATTGCAAGGAAAAAGTCGTGATGCGTGAGAACTTCTTGTGCACTGAGCATCCACTTGAGGGTGTGTTGGAACACAATCCGATCTGTCTCCTGGGTTGTTTCAAGTGCTTTGTCGTAGAGGTCTTCGTACAATGTAGTCAAGTCTCGAGGGATACGAGAGAGTTCAGATCGAATATCCTTTTCTGCTCGAATGCCTCGGAGACTTTGCAGTTGTAGTTCTGCCCAGCGAAACCTGCATATATGGTTAGCTGACGGTCTTACAACATAATAAAAGCTCTCCCCTGCTATATTTTGAATACTCACATGCCATTAGCCTTGGAGATGACATCCTCTTTGATCAATTTCGTCAACTCCTCCTTCGTCTGTTTCTTCCGAATATAAGCCAACAACTGCTTCTTCCCAATAAGCCTGTCCGTTTCAAATTCCACAAACTTCCGAATATCATCCTCGTTCTCCAACGAAGTGACCTGAAGCCCACTATGAGTCTGGAGAGAAAATCTCAGATCCCCTTCCTCGCGTGAGCTAACAAAAACCTTGACAAGACTCGCTGACTCGGTAATCGATTCCAACGCCTCGACAAGTTCCCACCGCGTATGGGAATCACATTCATCGAGAGCGTCAACCACAATCATCGATCGATCATACAGCTCAGTCAACTCCCGAATCAAACCACACAATTCGGCTATACTTGGTGCTCGCCTTGAGCCATCCTTGGAGTGTAGCTTATTATACAGTGTCAGCGTAGGAGGAGCAATCGACTCGGTTTGAGATCGACGAGAGAGCTGGCGCGCGATACAAGCCAGAATACTTTGCGGCATCGCACGCTGTGGCTCAGCCGTGTCGCGTGAGCAATAGAAGTATGCCAAGGTGTGCATCTCGTTCGATTCAGAGGCTTTCATGATCTCGTCGATTACCGTTGACGTCAAACAGCTCTTGCCCGAGCCTTGTGTGCCGTGGAGCCAGAGGAGGGTATTCTTGCTGTCGTTTTGCCAGTGGGAGAATTCGTTGTGTTGTACGACCCATTGACAGGTTCCTTTTAGGACCTTGGGCTGGATATCTGTGTGGTGATCGTGGTAGGGTTGGGAGGAGAGCCAGTCTAGTATATCTCGCCTTTGGATATCTGCCAGAGCCCATAAGTACAGGATCTCGCTTGCAAAAGTAATTCAACCTACTATTCAGGTAATCTTCAACTTGTTCAAGTCGATGCACCGTTTGTGAAATAGGCTGCTCGATTCGATCCAGAGCATCACGCAGCAAAGCAATGTTGTTCATCTCGAGAGACAAACTTGCAAATTGATCCGCACTCTCATTAGCCATCTCCGTTCTAACCAGGTCGGCGCAATGATCAGCCTCCCTTTCATCAGCATCCATCTTTTGCAGTAGATCCTGAAAGTCATTTTGAGCAAGGACACCACTCTTCAATATGCGAATGCCCGTCCGCTGCTGGAAGTAGCGTCTGGCCTGGACGAGATATTTCAGAATCGTGGTATACAACCTTATGACTGCCTGCTCGAGCAACGTTGTCGCGGCGCTGGAACGTTGCAGATATAGACACTCGACAATTCTATATCGAGCTGTAATTCTGGTGATCTTTGCCGCACCTTCCACGACAAAGTCGAACTGTTTAAAGTCGTTGATTGCAATCTAGATCATACGCCAGTCGGCACTGTTACCATAGAAACAGGCTATTCTTTCCTATCGGTGTGCAACCAACCTGTAAAAGAAACCGAGCACCTGCCCAAGGTAACGCGGCATGGCCCGGGTCAAAAGAGACAGCCTGGTCGCCCACATTCTTGAAGACTTCAACCCAATGCGTGATCTTGCCCAGCAGATCGCGAACGATGATCTTGTCCTGTTTTCCAGGCAACTTGATCTGCCATCGTTTGTGGACGCAAGTTTCGTATGCTTCGTGGGTCGTGTGCGTTAATGAATCAATTACATCGAGGGGACTCTGGTAGTTGATTTGGTTATTGTTTTGGCCAAAAGTGAGGAGGCTCTGGTCGTCGTCGTCCAGCTTCCCCGTGGCAGATGTCCATAGTGACAGAGTCTGGCTGACCATTATGTGCCACGATTCTGGTCCGATCTGCTGATTAGGATTAGATCAAACCTTCACGACATAACTTTGAGTCAAGTCGAATTACCTATATATCATGAAGCATGCGGGGAGAAGAGAGACTTGGGCTAGAGACTGCACCTTGTGTGGTGGGGCTCAGCTGGATGTGCCACTTCATTTGGCGCTTAAGAACCAAATGAGGCTAATGGACAAGTGTCCATGGATGATTAGTTACTAAAAGAAGAGACTCTAGAATGCCTTGACTGGGATCATATTGTCTAAAATGAATCTGGAGTCTAGCTCTGGCGAATACTCCGAGTATCCGACGGGGAATAATTTCTCCCAATAAGCCTTGCAGCGACTATATGAGATTGTTTGTATATGGATACACTTGAACATTATCAGGCTAGAGAGCCTTCTTCTCCATGACTTCATAATATGTATTAAGAATTAAGCCTATTTTACAGCTAGAGTTACAGTATATGCATTCATCCTACCACCACCACCACCACCAATCAAGCCTTACAACCAGTCTCCAATGACCGGTACATGGCTATACATCTCATTCCACCCTTGAGCCTCCCATCCAGATCCCTCCCCGCCGCGTCCAACAATCCCCAAACCACCCGCCAGCCAGAGAGCCGCACCAACAGCAGCAATCCCATTCACCACCCACCACATCTTGCGCTGACGCTTGACACGGTCCTGGTTCTCGGGATATCCCAAATACCCCTCAAGCGAACCCTTCGAACTCCGTTCTTTCCGAGCAGTAGTAACCCTCCACCCCATCCAAGTCGCCCATCCACCGATGAAATGCCAAACACTCGCCGTCACAAAGATCAGGTAGAAGATGTTCCAAAACACGGGGCTCCGCGCAATACCATGCGCGACATACCCCAATCCCACACCCGAACTACCGCCCTCGACCATGTACGGGGTAACCCGGTTAACGACCGCATGCAGACCGACCAGCGGTGCGACGAGATATCCCGTTTTCGCTTGCACCGAGACCTTGGGCCAGAAGGAGAGCAGATGACGCTGGGCACGTGTCTCGGCGCCGTACAGACGAGCACGGCGTGAGCCACGGATATTTCGTAGCGCGATGCCGGAAGCGATATGTGCGAGGATGGGGACGGTGAGGACGAGGTGTTCCAGGCCGGGGGCTTGGTAGACTGGTCGCGTGAGCAGGAGGTAGGGCTCGCTGGCGGGGACGGAGCGGGTAATCAGCGGGATGAGCGAGGTATTGGCGAAATGCAGGATGAAGAATGCTGTTGGTGGGTATGTAGAGTATCTTTGGATACCGGATACTGCGTTATGGTGTTAGATTGTAAGTCTCACGCTTGGTAGTTATTCAATTGAGCTAGACTCGAATTACACGTACAGAGAGCATCCCAACGGTGTGCGCGCAGCCCCAAATTCGGCGCAGGAAAGCCGCAAGTGCGCGATGGCTTGTCTTCATCGGGTTTAGGGAAGTACTCTCCATTCTCGAGGGAGTCGAGGTCTGGTGTTGAGGGTGAATCGTCGACCGGGGACGGATCCAGCTCCTGCATGGAGAGGATGGACTTGGTATCGAAGTCCTGGGACTTGGCGTCCAGGGACTGCATATTGGAGGATTTTATGATTTTCACAGACAGGAAAAGAAAAAAGAGGAAGAAGTAAAATTGTCTAAGGAGAATTCATCGTAGAATGTCGTGGGAAGAAAGTCGAAGCTTGTCAAAAGAAGAAGAGGAAGCTCTAGAGAGAGAAGACAAGAAATCAGGGACCGTTGGGGAGAGTCCGCCAAACCGGCCGCTTCTGATAGGCGCAGTGCGGCCCTCCCGACGTCAGTCGATCTTCACGATTTAATTTACTGTTCAAGAAGAGACTAGAGACTCTCTCTCTCTTTTATACACTCTACACATCATGCCACCGGTATTCCACCTCTATCTCTTTCAAGCAAAGACCCTGCCATTCAACATCTACTAACATCATCTTCCAGCGAGCCTTTACAAACCCAGCGCCAAAGGTACAACCCACATCCGCTCACAGCCTACAATCTACTACTCTATACCCTTCCCATCACCACCAAGACTAACCCACCCAATCTATCCTATCCAGACGGAATCCGCCCGATCCGCGCTAAGCTCCTTCACCTGCACCCTCTGCAACAAATCCTACTCGCGCCACCCAGAATACGAAGCCCACATCTCCTCCTACGACCACCAACACCGCAAACGCCTTGCAGACCTAAAACAGCTCTCGCGGGATCCCAACGCCGCCGAAAAGGCGCGGCGCGCGGAGCGCAAGGCAGACGCCGAAGCTGGACTCAAGGTCCTCGATGCGCCGGTTAATGCCCCGGTCAAGGGTGTGAAGAGTGGAGGGGGTGGAGGTGGTGGGGGTGGGGGGTTAAGAAGGGAGGGTTTAAGAGTTCGTTTTCGACGGTGAAAGGGCCTGCGGCACCGGTGAGGAAGAATGTTCTTGGGGATGAGGAGGAGAAGGAAGATAGTGGTGGTGGTGAGGCTGGACAGGGAAGTGGGAAAGAGTCTGGTGGTGTAGGTGTGGATGGTCGGGGAGGGCGTGGGAAGGAGGTTCGTGTGGATGCGGAGAGTGATACTGATGAGGAGTACTATGCGAGAGATCGGGAGGGTGGAGGGTATTATGATCCTCGAAGGCCGACGGGGTGTCATGCTGGATGTGCTGGCATGACACAGGTGAAGGCTGCCTCTTGATACCCGGGGAAAGAAATGATCAGTCATTGGAGATCCCTGTCTAGTTGATGTATGATTATGGGCTTATGGGCGTTGAAGCGTGGGATACGGCGTTTATATCACCTAGTTATTGACTACATACATGAATGTCTTTGAAATGGACAAAGAAACGAGCTGAACGAGCGTATGGACCTTCCAATATCTATCATTCTAAGCAAAAGGAACTTACGCTGGGGGAAAACAAAACAAGAAGAAAAAATAGCACAGACCCAAGGAAGGTAATCGTACACAGTTTTCCAGGAATCTGCCTAGGCGACAATAGATAATGACATGATAGTAGGGGAGGACACGACGATATAAAAAGATGAGATTGATGGGAAATGTTGAAGTTGGGGGGGGAAAATACTAGACACAAGGTTTTATTACTGCACGCTCATTGCAATCCCAAAAACTTACACCCGCAGCAGCTTGGCGGCTTGGCTGACAATGGTGTCCTCCTGGGGGAAGGACATGTTCTCGAGGCCAAGGGCGTAAGGAGTAGGAACCTCAGCACCAGTGACACGAACAGCGGGGGCAGTCAGGTAGTCAAAGCCGTACTCCATGGACAGAGCCAGGATCTCAGAGGCAACACCGAACATGGGGTAGCCAGACTCAACAGCCATCAGGCGGCCGGTCTTCTTGAGAGAGGCGATGATGGTCTCAACATCGAGGGGCTTGATGGAACGCAAGTTGATGACCTCGGCCTCGACGCCGTACTTCTGCTTGAGCTCGGCGGCGGCATTCAGGGACTGGCCGACGCAGCGGGAGAGGGAAACAATGGTCAGGTCCTTGCCGGGACGCTCAATCTTGGCCTTGCCGATGGGCAGGACAAAGTCGCTCTTCTGGGCGGCCTCGCTCATGGGGAAGGCCTGGCCGTACATAAGCCTGTAAAGCGGAGACAGAAGATCGTTAGCTATCCGTTTATTGCCGATCCCGAACCTGAATTTCTCTCCGGAGATCGGAGAAATACAAGAACCAAAAAAGAGTATCCAACTTACTCGTTCTCCAGAACAACGACGGGGTTGGGGTCGCGGATAGCAGCCTTGAGCAGACCCTTGGCATCCTCAGAGCTCCAGGGGGAGACAACCTTCAGACCGGGAATGCTGCCGTACCAGGCAGAGTAATCCTGGGAGTGCTGAGCGGCGACACCGGCGGCGAAACCGTTGGGACCACGGAAAGTGATGTTGCAGGGCTGGATACCACCGGACATGTAGTGAGTCTTGGCGCCAGAGTTGATGATCTGATCGATAGACTGCATGGCAAAGTTCCAGGTCATGAACTCGCACTAGATAATTTGCGATTGCACGGATTAGTCCCCTCCGAAACCATAATCTGGATTGTCGTTTTTTGGTGGACAACGAGTCTCCGGAAAAATTACTCACAATAGGGTGCAGGCCAGCCAGGGCAGCACCAACGGCGAGACCAGTGAAACCGGCCTCAGTAATGGGGGTATCAATAACCCGCTTGGGGCCGAAGCGGTCCAGAAGACCTCGCGTCACCTTGTAGCTGCGGGAAAAGAAGAAACCAGGTCAGTACTCTGCTGTCAATTGGAAAAACACTGGAACAATCCTTCCAATCGCGTTGCAATGCCCCCGGAGAGACAGAAAGGGCCTCCTTACGCTCCGTTGTACTGTGCGACCTCCTCACCCAAAATGAAAGTCTTCTCGTTGCTCTCCAGCTCCTCCGCAAGCGCCTCGTTCAGGGCATCACGGACGGTGACCTCCTTGACACCACCCTCGGTGGCATAACCGCGAGCGCGCAGAGCAGACTGAGCAAAAGCCGGGCGCAGAGGAAGGGTAGTCAGGCGCGAAGACAGCAGCCGGGATGCTGGGCGGAAAAGTCGGGGAGCGGCCATGGCGGGAAATTGAGATGCAAGTCGGGGGGGGAAGGAGGAGAAAGAAGAAGCAATTGACAAGGTCCGCTAGGTCGAAGAAAGCCGCACGGAGGCGATTGGAGACCAAAAGACCAGAAGACCAGAAAGACGACGTTGGGATGGAAGGGAAAGCCGCGCTTGAATCTTTGAGATGCAAATCCGAAGATGTTGGGCGCTGACTCAGCAACTGCCCTCAGCAATCTCACCGGCAGCTCCTTCCGTAAGCAAACGAAGAGCAAGAGAGAGCTTCGAGCTTAGAATCGGAAAGCTTCGTTTGGATAATTTTACTTTTGAACCTTCTGCAACAACTACTGACTATCCCACGACTCAACCCTCGACTTCTTCTCTACCAGGGGCTGTTCCCATCCCCTCGCGGTACTCCCTTCGAGGATGTTGTTATCGGCGTTGCCCTTCCTCTTCCCGTCGGCGCTCGCCGCTCAGCCCTCCGCGCCGTCTCCCATCTCCGCTCCCCTGCGAGACCTCGAGCTCGGGCAACTGAATTTCCTCCATACAACCGATACTCATGGCTGGCTGGCCGGCCATTTGCAGGAGTAGGCTCCTCCGGAGGTTCTCCGCTGTAAGCTCCCCAACTGATGTGGTTGCAGGCCTTCCTACTCGGCGGACTGGGGGGACTATATCTCGTTCTCGGAGCGCATGCGGGAAAAAGTAGAAGCCCAGGGACAAGATTTGCTGGTGATAGATACCGGTGACCGTGTCGAAGGCAATGGCCTTTATGATTCGTCCGAGCCCAAGGGTGTTTATCTCTCGGAGATTCTCCGCCATCAACACATTGACGTGATCACCTCGGGAAACCATGAACTATACAAGCAGAACACTTCGGAGACCGAGCTCCTACACACTGTACCGAACTTCCGGGGCAAATATCTCGCTTCAAATATTGACATTTACCATCCCGAAACGGGCGAGCTCGTCCCGTTGGCCCCGCGGTACAAGAAATTCACTACTGACCTGCAGGGCATCCGCATCGTAGCATTCGGCTTCTTGTTTGATTTCACCGGCAACTACAATAACACGGTAGTGCAGCGCGTGGAGGATACAATCAAGGAGGACTGGTTCCAAGAAGCCATTCGGGACAAGGAAGTCGATCTCTTCTTAGTAGCTGGCCATGTCCCCGCCCATTCGTCAGAGTGGCGGGCGATCTACAAAGAGATTCGCGGGACCCGGTGGGATACGCCAATCCAGTTCTTCAGTGGACACCAACATATCCGTGACTATGCAAAGTACGATTCCAAAGCCGTTGCTCTTGCCAGTGGACGGTTCATGGAGACCATTGGATTCATGTCAATCGATGGGCTTTCTACTGGCAGTGGTCCGAGCAAGGAGTCCCAACCTACCTTCAAGCGGCGCTATATTGACAACAATCTCTTTTCCTTCTATCATCATACGGGACTTGATGCAGACACTTTCCCCACTAAGAAAGGCCGAAAGGTCTCCCAGCTGATTGCCGAGTCGCGGACTGCACTTCAACTCGACCAGGTGCACGGCTGCGCGCCGCGGGATCTATGGATGTCGAGAGTCCCTTATCCGAACCCCAACAGCATCTATACCTGGCTGGAGACCAAGGTGCTGATCGAGACGTTGAAAGACGAATCTCGGGGTGAGAGGCCCTCTGTGGCTATCTTGAACTCGGGTGCTATCCGGTTCGACATTTTCAAAGGCGTTTTCACCCAGGATACTACCTGGACCATTTCACCGTTCACCAACGGATTCCGCTATGTCAAGGACGTTCCATACGAGAAGGTGCAGCTGATCATGGAGGTTCTTAACAAACAGACCAAAATCTTATCTACATTGCAAGACAATACAGAGCCCTCCTTGCTCCCTCTGGTACCTCCCGAGCAACTTGCACGCCCTGAGGAGATTATCTTCGATGATGATGAATTGTCGGAAGGATGGCTCACATCTAACATGGGCGGTTCAAGCCAGGTCCCGCTCTCTGCCTCTAACATCGCTGGTAAGATTGTGCCAGGATACACCACCAAGGATGATGCGGGCGACGATGGAGACGATACCATCCACGCACCGATCTCCTTCTACAAGGTGCCCAACTGCATTCAAGCCTTGATCTCTGCCAACTCATCTGGTGTTCCTGAGAAGGTCGATCTGATCTACATTGAGTTTGTGCAACCGTACCTGGCGCTGGCTGCCAAATTTGCTGGTCTTGAACTCGATTTTGTCAAGGAGAGCGATGTGTATATGCCGAATATCACTTTGACAGACCTCATCTTGGACTGGGTGAGGAAGCACTGGAAGTGCGAGTGATTTGCCGTTATGCCTGTAGCTTAATTGCCTGGTTCTTACATTTAATTATCATTCAGCATACACATCAGTTATGTATCAATACACTGCTTATACTTAATCGGTGCCATCGCCCCAGACTTGCTTAATGTAGCCATAGACCTTGCCCATGTATATTCATTCTACGGAGAAATTATGATACACTAACTCCTTATTCTGGGAGACTTTACTCATCACCACCAGTAAAAGTGAATACACCCTTTCCACTGCGGTATCCTCCCAAAGTACCCTGAACACTCTCTGCCAACTGCGGTCCCTCAGAGTCCCACTTCCACTCCACATTGTCAACAGGAATATCCTTGAACCGACCAGAGCGAGTCAACTGTAGAACATCCTTGATCGTATTCTCCTTGAGCGCCGGGTTCTTATCACCCCACTTGCTCACCCAGAACCCATCAAAGGTCAAGTTCTTAAAGATCAGCAAGCCCGAGGGCAGAGCCACAGGCTGCTTCGACATCGCACCGTAAGTAACCATATGCGAGTCCGGCGCCAGGGTCTTCGCCAGAGCCGTAGCATTCTTTCCACCGACACAGTTCAACGCCAGACGAATAGGCTCACGGCCCTGACGCGTAAACTCATGCACCATATCCCGAAACCCACCCGTCAACATCTCCTCCTCAGTAACAACGGCCGTAGCACCAAGATCCTTGAGCTCCTGCTTCAGCGCCTCAGTTTCCTCAGGCGTCTTCCGCCCACGAACAATATTCAAAGACTTAATACCCCATTCCCGGCAAAGCTGAATAGCAGCGCGCCCAACGCCACTATTCGCGCCGTTCTGGATCATCCACTCCTCGCCCGCGCGCATCCAGTCCCACTCGCAAAAGTCCCGGATCATCCGGTATGCCGTCACCGGATTCACGCTGACGGTACCAACCTGCAACGGGGTAAGGCCGTCCTTATTCTCGATGCGGATGAGCTGGGACTCGTCGAGTTGGGCGTGCGTGCGCCAGGTTCCCTGGCCCGTGCGCTTCATAATCACCCAGTCGCCCTTGGCCAGATTCTTGACACTGGCACCAATAGAGATGACCTCGAAGGCGCCCTCGTTTCCGCCTACGGCGGCGGGCTCGGCGGTGCCGAGGGATGTTTCGAAGGGCGGTTTGCTGGGGTACACGCCTTGGATTTGGTTGACGTCTGCTGGGTTCATGGGCGCGGCGAGGAGGCGCAGGTTCACCTGGGAACCGTGGGGTGCGGAGATGGAGTGTTTGTGTAGACTGGATTTAGATGTCTGAGTTCAGTATTTTCGAATTGGTAGTGCGCTAGGTAGATAGCGGGGAGGGCGATTGAATGGGCTATGTAGTTAACTGACCTGAGAACATCCTTTGGCTCGCCGTATTTCGAGTACACCAGGGCCTTGGCTTGTGTGTAGCCGTACATGGAGATGTACCGCCGGCCCTGGACGGGGAGGAGTGTGGAGCTAAAGCTTGTGCATGAAGCTGGAGCTGGAGCTGGAGCTTTGCCGGCCGCGGCGAGGCCGGCGGCACGGGCTGCGCTTGGAGCGCGAGAGCTCTGGGTAGCGGCTCGAAGTGCGCTACGTGATAGCATTGTGGATATATGGAGGTTTGGGGGAGAGAGAGTGAGAGGGAAAAAAAGTTGGGGGAGAATTGGCCGAGGGACACGACGGGAAGGGAAGAGTCTCGGATGACGTCTTGTTCGGCGATTGGCGATTGGAGCTCGGGCCGATGGAAGAGGAGCAGAACTATGAGATGACAAGCATGTCTAGTATGGCAGAATCAAGTTTCATTTTTGAGTACTTTGCAAGTGAGGTCTTTTGAGGTGTAAATTTTGTCTGTATATCTATTGTACGAATGTATCAGTTGGTCCGGTCGCTGAAGGAATGGGCTCTATACTGAACTCCGCGGACTTGGTCTTAGCCGACTTGAACGGGAAACTTGTTGGAGAGTATTCTCAATCATCACATCAGTCAAGTTTGTTTACAACCATTAACATGGTCACTTCTTTGTCTCTTCCAGTATGGTAATCCAGACGAGTTGGGAAGAGTCATCTATAGTATATCCTAGTCAGACACTTTTATCGACTATTTCGAAGAATGATCAACTTACTATACCCATGCATGTCTATTGTACCTCCTTAGCTTATCATCTACAATGATTCACTATACCATTGGGTCGCCTCTTCTTTCTCGCCCTCTTCTATTGCAATCCACGAAACTGGCGCCCAGACAGTTAGGACCATTCATTCAATCTCAAGAGGTAAATAACCGAACCAACTATTCATAGATTCAGATACGAGAGCCAAGAGCCCCGTAACGAGAGGAAACTCTTGGCCTAACCATGCCATTTAGCTACATTTCAAGCTGACCTTGATCGCCCTACAGGGCTACCTGATTGGGTCATGCATGCCACCCTCAGCCACTCCGAAGCGCGTGCAGATCTTTCCGGGGCAATCGAATCCGACGCCAGAATAGATCGAAACTCGTACATGCTCAGCGAGTAACAGGCAATGAGGAAAGATCTGTTGGATATCTTGACTTGGCACAGACGGCTCACTTGAGTATTGACTAATTCGCGTTCGTCTTTGAATATCATCACTATATTTGGCTCGTCTGGAAGACCCCCACGATACCAAGACCGAACTATACGAACTCATCGTCGGATCCCTTCCTAGTATACTACTATTCTTGACCTTGTGGAATATCTGCCAATAGCCTCACAGGTGCACCTTGATAGTCTCAATGCCCAGAAATTGAGAACTTTCAGGATATCGTATACATCCTTGGCAATCCACCCCAACAACATATCCGATGGCCGATCGTTCGTGATGAGCTATTTCTAGTTGAAATAGTTGAAGATACGAGGGAAAGGACTCGTATAGTCAAGATGTGTCAGTATTCACAGCAAGATCTAGGGCTATTGAGTCCCTGGATGAAGTATAAATACCTTCATCCTTCCTGCCCTTAACACCCTCATCAATTCCCATCGAAGTCAAAGCATCGCCAACAAGCCTCTACAACATCGAAAACACACTTCAAACGCTCCATATCATCCAAACCTTCTTAAATCATCAAAATGAAGTTCACCACCACCATCATTGCCGCCCTCATCACCGTGCTGCCCATGGCCAACGCATGGATCTTTTCCACCACCGCCGGACAATGGGACGGCGAAAACAACCGTCGCTGCACCAAGGCATCCTCCCGTGCAGGCGAGATTATCGATTGGGAGAATGAGTGGGGCTCTGACTGCACCCTGCGCGTGTATAGCGATAGCAAGTGCCGCACCCAGATCGGTATTGCTTCGGATGATTGGAATGATCATGAGCTGAGCACTGCCATGGGGAGCTTCAAGGTTTCGAGTTGCTGAGTAAACTGTCATATTAGAGGGTATCAGTGGGCGGTACGGAAATTTGGATGTTGGATTCCTTTCTTGTCTTTTTGTTTTGTCTTTTCGTTATGAATTGTTTGAATGTATTTACATCTCTGCTTTCTGTTGATATTCGTTGCCGCAATGCTAGATCCTACAGTATTGTCATGATATGATTATCTCCATGGTTGAGAGGATCTTTTCACTGCCTTGGTTATGCAAATTTCCACCTGGAGATGGTAACATTGACGTACTTGTAAATATTGGAAAGTATAGTTCGAGCCCATGGTGTTGAATTCGTAGTAGTATAACGGTGACTGAAAGCATTTCATTAAATATGTATCTTGTATGTTTTATGCTCGCGGAGATAAAAATATCTGACAAGCAACCAATACTCTGAATAAATATAGGAAGCATCTTCATTATCTTTCATCTATCTATTATATCTATCCAATACATGTGATGGTCTTTCTCCCCTTACTGCTATCTCGTCGTATACTTCAGTAGACTCTGGTCAGGTGGAAACCTCGAAAGCACGGGCCATCGGGCCATCGGCCTCGGTCATCTCAATTTCCAGTCCGCCGCTCAATCAGTACTTCGCATTCACCAGTCCTCATCACTCCATGTCCCTTCTACGCGAAGCGGAGAGGTGCCTTGCGAACCAACATGCACATGTCCTCAACGCCTTCATAACTCCACTGCCCCGCTCGGGGCAATGGCTAGATCGCGTAAAGGAAGCAGACCAACGCCGCGAGCAAGGTACGCCTACAACACCCAACAACTATACTCCTTCACAGGACTCAAATTGACTGGAGAATTTACCTGCACAGGCAATCCCAAGTCCACAGTTGACGGGCGCTTGATATCGATCAAGGATAATATCTGCACACGCGACCTACCAACTACCTGCGCCTCGGGTATCCTCGACAAATTCACCAGCCCATTCAATGCCACCGTCGTCGATCAATTAGAGGCCGCCGGGGCCGTGGTCGCTGGCAAGACCAATCTCGATGAGTTTGGAATGGGGTCGCACTCGGTGCATTCGCGATTTGGCGCTGTAAAGAACATGCGACGGGACCAAGATGGACAGGATCTTTCCGCTGGCGGAAGTTCCGGTGGAAGTGCGGTTGCTGTTGCTGCCGAACAGTGCTATGCGTGAGTGTGGGAGATACTATTTGCATACGAGTTGATACTGAACACTGCCGGGTTATCGTATAGTGCCCTCGGAACAGACACTGGAGGCTCCGTCAGACTTCCAGCAGCGTATACTGGAACAGTTGGATTCAAACCCTCATACGGCCTACTCTCACGATGGGGTGTGGTGGCATACGCAAATTCCTTGGACACAGTGGGCATCCTGGGGAGGAACACGTCCACCGCGAGAGACGTCTTCTGTAAGCCTCTTATTCATGAATATCATGCCGAAAGCTTGCTAACATGCCTGGGTAGCCATTCTTAACAAGCACGATGCCCGCGACCCAACAAACATAACCTCATTCTCGCGCTCTCGAATCATCTCACACCTCCAAACGCCACGACTAGCATCTCGACTGACCTCCTCACCTCTCCGCATTGGTGTCCCACTAGAATACAACATCTCCGAGCTCACACCATCTGTTCGCCGAGCATGGCTTCTCTCTCTCGCGCATCTCCGAGAGCAAGGACATACTATCCATCCCATCTCTCTACCAGCGACCAAACACGCCCTCTCCACATACTACGTTCTCGCACCTGCAGAGGCGTCCTCGAACCTCGCCAAATACGACGGTGTTCGTTACGGGACTCGCGCCGAGGGACCAGATAGTAGTGGACAGCCAGACGGCTATCTCTATGCTAATACCCGTAGCAATGGGTTTGGTGCTGAAGTACAACGCCGTATTCTCCTCGGCACGTTCAGTCTGAGTGCAGACGCCATGGACAACTACTTCATCCAAGCCCAACGTGTGCGTCGACTGGTCCAGCAGGATTTCAATGCTGTCTTCGCGGCTGCGCATCCGTTCGGTGCGACTGAGGCATCAGAGACAGACCGCTCTGCAGCGGCGAATGTTGATGTGATCGTGTGTCCCACCGCGCCATCCGCACCTCCGCGACTGTCTGATGTATCAGCTGGCTCGTCGCCTCTGGATGCCTATGTCAATGATGTCTTCACGGTTCCAGCAAGTTTGGCTGGGTTACCTGCTATTTCAGTTCCTGTGACTGTAGCCGAGTCTGAGCAGAATCCCGTTGCGGATCAAGTAGCTGGTATTCAGGTTATTGGCCAGTATGGCGATGATGAGTTGGTGATGAAGGTTGGTGAGTTGCTGGAGGGGAAGAGGTTAGATGGCTAGAAGTAGCCCGAGACTTGCCTTTTGACTCTGTTTTGTATTATATTTTGTATGACTACAATGATACCCATGCATTTCTGTGCATTGCATTGGGGTTCCTAGGTTCCTTATCTTACATGGGTTGATCAAAACGTAAAAACAGCTCATTATACTTGAGTCGCTGTTGGTGGGCTTCAAAAGATTCATTAACAGATGGCATTAAATTCGAAGGCATCATTTCGTCCAGCCCAGGATGCCAAGTAGTCCTATTCCGCATGGGCACGGGCACGCTCACAGCAACATCAGCTCATCTCTACATCTTCATCTGCATCCGCTGGAGCATCCGCTGGAGCATCCGCTGGAGCATCCGCTGGAGCATCCGTTGGAGCATTCGCTGGAGCATCCGCTGGAGCATCCGTTGGAGCATCCGCTGGAGCATCCGTTGGAGCATCCGCTGGAGCATCCGTTGGAGCATCCGCTGGAGCATCCGTTGGAGCATCCGCTGGAGCATCCGCAGCATGGACTGGTGTCCCAGCTGTGCCGACACTCATCGCATCCTCTAGCACCGGGTTAGCAGCAGGCGTGGCCTGATTGCTGTTCACAGCAGAATCAGAAGCCCCCGCTGCGCCAGCCGTAGCAAGCGCTGCACCGACGCCGTTCTGCAAGACCTCGGAGCCCCCAATGGCACTAGAAGCAGGACCATCTATCTCTGTGTTATTGTTGCCAATCACATCTCCATCGACACCGCCCCAGGTGAACATGGCTTCGACCTCGTCGACGATATCAGCAACGACGTCCTCAACGATCTGATCGTTGAAGCGCTCGCCCATAGGTCGGACGGGACCACCCAAGTCGTTCTGCTCAGGTGGGCCAACCCACCATGGGCCCTCGAAACGGCACTCGACGGCACCACCGCCGTAGCAGCTCACAGCTGGGTAGTAGCCGATCATGCCGTCGTCGGCATTTTCCCGTTCTCCAATACCAAGATTATTCGTGCCGTTGGCGAGACGGCTGGCTGGTGGTAAAAAGGCGTAAAGCTCTTTGAAGGGTGTGCCCATCTTGACACCATTTTTGAAAATAGTAATGCTGGAGCCGGGTAACGTGCGAAGAGTAGGATCTTCACTGTTGAGCGGGGAGGGGGGCCCGAATGTAGGAGTTTCTTTCAGGTTGAAAGCGTAGTCGCGGAGGTGTTTTGTAGAGAAGACGTTGGACTGTTGCCAGCAAAAGTCGGATTTGTAGTGAAAAGGGATACGATCTCGGATGATATTCGTGGCTGTAGGAGCCTCCGATAGTGGCTCGGTTCCATCGCCATCTGCAGCGGGATCGTACGTGCCTTCGACGATTTTCTTGTGCAGTGAAAGAGGCGGGAGGGTAATTAGCATGCCAATGACATCGCCTTCGTTGATGCCTTCGCCCTTGGGGAAGAAGAATTCGCATCGCATGCGATTCACGACTTCGCCGTTTACGTCCCGAATGCCGTACCCGTAGCAGTCGACGCCCACGTTCACATCCAGATCCGCCTCACGCCGAGCGAATCCGAGTCGAACATGACCGCGAGGAGATGCGCCGGGCGCACCCTTCTGAGGAGCTGCTTGTCCGTCGTTCACTCTGCCACTGATGACCCGCGCCTCGTAATAATATGACCCCTCCCGAGCGCACACATTTGCGCGCGCCGTATGCCATGCATCGCTTGTGGTTACTGCCCTAGCGTCTTGCGAAAAGAAAATTGCGGCAGGGGAATCCTCGAAGCTGAAGCGCGTGTGGTATGGCTGGACATCGGTCTGTCGATACTTGATATGGGGGAAGCCCGGGTCACCAATTGCGTAACTGTAACGGAAGCCGTTCTTGTTGGTGAGTTTATCGACGACCTCGTAAAAGTCCCACGTCCGGTCCAGAACCTGCGAGGTCTTACTCGTCACGAGGTTGAATTGGCGTGGTTGGGGAGGTGACCGATCTGATGCCCGGGGTTCGGCGAGTAGCAATGGGCGGAGAATCGAGAGCTCTGAACTGGGGCGGGCAATGCTTGCCGCTGTTGCGCGTTTCTTGGATGGCGGCGGCGCGCTTTCCGGATCTAGGCCTTTGGCTTCGCGTTTTTTGCGACTATCCTTCTTGTTACGCTTCGAGCGAGCTGTATCACCACCTTGTACTGATGCATTGCTGGCGGGGGGCTGGCGAGGACCGGCTGTTGAGGTCAGACAATGCGCCGTTGAGGAGGGGGCCGTTGCCTGGCGGGAGAAGGGGAGAGTTGATATTTGAAGAGGGTGCAGAGGAGCCGGGAGCTTGAGCAGATGCCATTGTGATTGATGCGGCGCAAGGTGAATTGCCGACTTGAGTCTAATGAGATAGACCTGGGATGGGTCTACTTTGAAGATGACCAGAGGAGTTGTATGAATGAGCAACTGGAGTAAACTGGACGAGTCAGTACATTTGTATACAGCATGGTATTAATTTCTCCAGTTCTCCAAGGCCATGCCTTGGGTAATATGAAACTGCGACACCAATGATCACTTACAGATTGACGCGGGTCCGGTCAACCAGCTTCAGCCGGAGTATGGAGTATCGGAGTTGCGCACGAGGGGTATGGAGACGTGGGAAGTGATTGCTGATTCCAAAATGTTGCCCATTCAATTTCCTCGGTATTTCCCCAGTCGTTACAAGGACATCAGCTGACACACGGAACAACTGAACTTGGGCGTACTTGACAAACACTCGGTCCTTGTGAAGCTCTCTCGGCAGAAAAGCATCGGCGACACAAAAGGCGGTCGGCCTATATAGGACTATATAGGAAGGCGGTAGAGCTGAGAGAAAGTGAGTGGGTCTCCGCCTGGCAAAAAAAAATTACTGATTAGATCACATGATCCATAAATTTACACACAACTGATCAACAGATTGTTGTGCACCAACTCCGAACAGTCCGACGAATTCACGCATTCTCTTGGTTTCGGACAAGCCGAGAGAAGGAACTTACCCATCATGCCCAAGGCTACCAGCTCCCGAGCCGCCGCGGCGGCGCGCAGGCACAACCCTCTCGCGGACGATATCTCTGCCGTGGGGCATCTCCGAACAACCAGCAGCAGCAAGAAGGGCAAGAGCCAGTCGCAGGATGACGATGAGGATGGTGAGAATGGCGAGCGCTATATCGATGCCAAGATGTCGCGCAAGATTCTTCAGATCGGTCAAGAATTGGCAGACGAAGATGCCGCGGAGCAGAAGCTACGATTTGGCGGGGCTCAGTCAAAATCGAATGCAGCCTTTGACTTTGACACTCGATTTGAAGACGAGGGTCTGTCGGATGATGACAAGTTTGAGAATGACGGTTGGGTTGACGAGGAGGAGGAGGTTGAAGATATTGTAAGGAGTGATCTGCCTGCAGCGTGCAAATTATCTTTGGGAGCTTTTCTCTAACAATGTTTGCAGGAGGTTGATCCCAATGACCTGGATATGTTCAACAAATTCATGCCCGGTGGCAACGACGAGGACCCTATTTTCGGTACGCGACAGCCTGGAGAACAGATTCAACAACAGACGACAAACCTTGCCGACTTGATTCTGGAGAAGATTGCGGAGCACGAAGCGAAGCTGAACGGCGAGAATGTCGGCGGGCAATACGTTCAAGGTGGTGGTATCCCTGAGGATGCTGTTCAGATCCCAGCCAAGGCTGTGGAAGTATATGAGAAGTATGTGAAGACCGACATGCCATTGTATCCACTCCAGGCTAACTAATGGACCTCTAGGGTCGGCATGATCCTCTCCCGCTACAAGTCTGGTCCCCTCCCCAAGCCTTTCAAGATCCTTCCATCCGTGCCGAACTGGCCGACTCTCCTCGACATTACGGAACCCGAGAGATGGACCGCCAACGCCGTGTACGCTGCGACTCGTATTTTCATTTCCTCCAAGCCCTACGTGGCTCAAGAGTTTATCTCAACTGTGCTGCTGGACCGTGTTCGTGAAGAGATCCACGAGACCAAGAAGTTGAACGTTCACACCTACAACGCTCTGCGCAAGGCCCTGTACAAGCCCGCATGCTTCTTCAAGGGTCTGCTGTTCCCACTTGTGTCAAGCGGCACCTGCTCTCTTCGTGAGGCCCACATTATCTCCTCGGTGATCGCCCGTGTATCTATTCCCGTACTTCACTCTGCCGCTGCACTCCTCCGCATGTGTGACTTGGCCGCCGAGCAGTCTATGCGCTCACTCGAGAGCACTGGTGCCGTCAACACCTTCATCCGGGTGTTCCTGGAGAAAAAGTACGCCATGCCTTACAAGGTCATTGACGCTCTGGTGTTCCACTTCCTGCGATTCCGCAACGACAACTTCGGGGATGCCATGACGGATGGCCCTGGTAGCTCCAAGGCCTACAAGCTGCCCGTCTTGTGGCACCAGTCTCTCCTGGTCTTTGCTCAGCGTTACCGTAATGATATCACCGAGGATCAGCGCGAGGCTCTGCTGGATCTCCTCCTTGTCCGCGGACACAAGGACATTGGTCCCGAAGTTCGACGTGAATTGCTCGCCGGCCGTGGCCGGGGAGTCGTCGTTCTGGACCCCGAGCAGCAGAATGCCCTCGATGCGGGTGATGACACGATGGATGTGACTATGTAGATGCTCTATTGAGCGCTTGATTTTCTTTTCCTTTGTCACCAAAACCCTTTACCCCCCTCTGCATATACCACCTACGACCTGGTCATGAGCACTTACTTGATGGAATGGCGTTTACTGTTTGATTCTTTTTCTGTGGGACTGCATATATTCCCCTTGGTGTCGGAACTGGTGAAGTCGATAGAGCAGAATAGCGTCTATGGACTTAAAAGTATTGTTGATGTACCTTTTCCTGGATGAATCATTCGTAGAGTGAGATCTAACAGACAGTTGAGAATGAGCTCGGTTTAGCATGTCTCGAAAGAGGATTCGAAGGAGGACTCGAAAGAGAACTCGAAAGAGAACTCGAGAGACGTCTCGAAAGATGCCTCGAAAGAAATCTCGAAAGAGGATTCAAAGGAAGTCTTGGAAGAAGGTTCGAAAACAACCTTAGAAAATATCTTTAAAAGGAATCACAAAATGTCTAGCGAAAAGTGTAGCTATTCAGTAGTTACTCCGATACTACTTTCATTGAGAGGACTGGTAAGTACCTTAGAAATAACTTTAGCCCGCTCTCATTCCAGAAGTATCGTGACGGCTACCCCCAAAGCTCAGGTTCGATCACACCTACAAGCCACCCGGTTCTAATCATCGACAGGAACCGGCCTCCATCCTCAATCTTTAGATCGCGAATCGCGACCCAACAAGCCCAAGACGATTCAGACAGTCATATATCTGAGTCGCTCTCAAGCCTACACGTCGGACAGGAACGTGCTCAGGCAGACATCGACTTCTATCTCAACCTACCACCTAGCACAGGCAATGCACCGCCCCCAAACATGTCTGATATCGGACAAGGTCCATCATCAGGCCCTCCTGGCCCAACACAGACCATTGCCCACGGCGTCATCCACCCCCAGGGAAGACGACCAAGCCAAGCGGCCACAGGTTTCCCAGGCCAACAAGCCGCTCCATTCCAAACTGCTACGCCGCAAACCCACTCAACAAGTGCGAGTGACATGCCAATGACTGTCGGTATGGCCATGGACCTATTCCGACAAGTCTCACGCGAAGAACTTTAAAAAGAACCTTCGATTAACCCTTACATGAGTAACTTAAGTAAGAAGTGATCGACCCAAAATAAGAAAGTTTAAGAAGGCTGTAGTTGGAAAATTCCACCTGAAAACGGTTGACTCTGTACTAAATAGAATATTAGATATTTTTTGTTACCTGAGGTATACATGATTATGTAATCAAACATAATCTGCCTGGATAATATAGCGATATTCTTGGACCTTGCACTTTGTTCACTCTAAACATAGCAAAATAATTTTTTCAGGGAGCTAGAGGTCTCAAGATGCCGCTGGAGTATATTCTAGGCAAGAATAGAGAGAATATGCGTACTCTGGCATGAACTAGCATAAATACAAACAAGGGACTGCATAACTTCCTCTTTCCTATTCTTTGACCATCCCAACGCGACGAGGTAAGTGAGAGCATCATGAAAACCAATATTTCTCTTGGATAGCAAACAACTTTGCCCAGGCCTCTGAAAAAGACTGCTATAAAACCCATTTTCTTCATCTTCATTCTTCTTTTCCCCTTCATCATCCTCAACAATCTTTCTACACACTTTTTCACCAAGTCTACCTACACCTTGACATACATCAACAACACATACATACCTTCCAAGGTCCCAGCATCATCTCTATACACCTACTCTCATCCTCTCACTTCCGGCTTTATTCACTTCTCTCCTCATCTCCATTTCCACTCACTTCCCTACCTATACCTCATCACACAAACCCTCTCCCTTCCCCTCACAACTCACAGTCATGGCTCGCACCCGTGACACCATCAACAACCTGGGCCTGACCCAGTCGGAGCTAAAGGTCCTCCTCTATGGCATCCTATGCCCTTCCACCGATGGAAGCCGGGTAAGTTATCCCCTCACTGACCCCTTCTATCACCCATCTACTCCGTCTTATCTATCTCTGATTCCTGACTTTGTTCTAGACTGCCGTGGACTTCGACAAGCTAGCCACTGAGCTTGGGTATACCTCGTCCTCCGCCAAGGTCATGTACGGCAACGCCCGCCGTAAACTGAGCCGGGCGACTGGTATTACCCCAGGCTCTGGTGCGTCTACCGGCCGTGCGGCACCTGCTACCTCTGGTGCTAGTACTAACCCGGCTAGCTCACTTCCTGCTCCTTCTGGTGCCGCTGTTGGCCCTACTGGGCCTGATACCTCGGAGGATGAGGAGGAGGACTAGACATACCTACAGCGGGCTCTGTTGAAGCTGCTGTTCTAAATTGCGGGGGTTCGCTGATTTTTGCGGATTTTTGCGATTTTTGCGATTTCATGATTTTTACGACTTCACGGCTTTGGCAATATCATGATTTTTGCGGTTTTACCTTATCGCAATTGCTTCTATTATCATGACTTAAAGTTCTTACGAGTTCATGATTTCATGATTTCACGTTACGATTTTTCCAGTTTTGCGGGCATTTTCACACATGATTGAAAGAAAAAAGATCTAATGGGAGGTTCTGTTGAAGAACACCCGGCATGACAACGCTGTTGTTACGTTGTAGCCCAAGATACATACAGAAACAATGTATTCGTCAAATTTTTACTCCTCCTCTTCAGTTGTTGCCTCATCGTCGACAGGGTTAGAGAATGGCCTGTATCCTTCTTCGTTGATTTCGGCGAGAATAGACTCGGAAGTTTTTTTGCGCCCCAGTCCATACAGCTCCTGAAAGCTCATAATCAACGGGTGCCATTTGTCGGGATCGATTCGGTTCGCATGCCCTGCCATGCGAATATTTTCATGAACGTGTGTCCGAAGAACCTGAACCTCCAACGCGATAAACCCTTTCATCTCCGCGTCTTGCATCATTTCATACACTCCCTTCAATACGGCCTCCATCTGAGCAGGGCACTCAGCAATGCGGGGAGGTCGAATCAGATCGGAATCCGCCGGTGTCAAGCCTGAACGTCCAAATTTGTCCGGCACATACTTGTAACCGTTCATACGTTTGAAGTATAGGTATCCTGTTCCCTTGGCTGCGGTCAACATCTCCTTCGACCCAGTTGTTTTTGCTAGAGCGTTTACTGCTCCTGCCATGTTGTCTGATGCGAGGTTCAGGACACATTGCTTGGTTCGAATTAAATTGATCGTGGTTTGCGATACGGCCCCTAGGCCTAACATGCATCGATTTCCAAGCCACCATGCTGATGACATGGGCGCGATGTTGGATGTCCCATCTTCGTTCTCCGTCGTTATCAACACAACTGGTGTACCCCAGTAAAAGATAGGTGGGGAAATCGTCTGAGATGCCTCGATAGGTATTGGTGCCATGGTGTCCTTGGATGGGAACCTTAGGACGTCGATAATACTTGTCTGTTGCTAATTCAAGTACTCCAGCTTTGTACTTCCCTATTTATATCTCAGCCTGCTTACTTGTATAGTATTAAGTAACCTCCTTTAGCTGTAGTCCCTTGCTATATAAGTGGCCAACGACCGTAACGTATACTCTACTTTTTCCCTTGGCCTTTCTAACTCGGCCTTAGTTTTCACCTTGGTGGAGCAGAAGTGGCCAACTGTCGTATTCCAATGCTTATTATGATTGGTCAGTTTAAACACATATACTCATAAAATTCCACACCGGCTCTATAAGTAGCCAATAAACACATCTAGTGCCTTAGCTTCCCCACTATCTCTTAACTGGCCACTGCCAAGCAATCCGGTTAATATTATCGACGATAGAAGTGGCCAATCACGATCATATTTCCACTATCTTGTAATTGGCCAGTTTGAAGAGAATATTTTTATTGAAGTGAAGTCTAGCTGATCTAGACCCGCCTATGCACCCTCGGTCTAGGCTAGGGCTCGCCAAGATAGCTAAGATATATTCAAAACACTGTGACTCTACAGTATTACCTTGCCTCTGCGAAAATTTAGGGCCCACTTAGCCAGACTATTGTCATTCTTGGTGCGCTTTGACGAGGTAAAGTCATTGCTACATAAGTAGCCAATAGGCATTAGCATCCGCAGAAGCCCAGGAATTGCGTACGGGTAGGAGCAGTGGAAGAATGAGGCTCTAGAAGGTGGGCCCAATTCCGAGGCTTTCCAAGATGTATGTACATAAAGTTATTCTTTCTACAGCCCGCAGCCTCGGAGGGTCATCCGGAACCAAGTTTTCCCCTAGCTATTACTGTTGTTTCTTATCGCACCTTGTTGCTGTTACTCCGTCATCCAAAAGACCTCAACCAAAAATCATCTTAACTGAAGTGGCGATCAAGACTGAGCGAAGACAACATATCCTATATATATACGGGTCTCCATCAATTTATAAAGAAATCTCATTTCCCCACACAACTGCCTTTATCACAATCTGGACTCCCCTAAAAGTATCTGCCAGCCCGCATTTGAAGTTTGTTGCTGTTCCTATATGAATTGTATCGCTCGCAATGATAAGTTCAAGGCGCTGCAGACACTTGAAGCTCCCAGGTCCTATCTTCACCCATTCGGCTTCGGTATCAAGAAGCCTCAAACCACCCTCTATTAATTGGCCTTCAATAGTAAGGCTCAATTCCCGTAAACCGGTGCAATTTGGCCCTACCGCGGCCCCCAGAATGGCGCAGATATCAATCCATTCAGATGTAGGCCGACAACTGCCAGATCCGTAGATGAGACTGCTCTCAACAGCCCGTAAACTCAGCCTTTGAATTGACCACAACTGCCATTGACACAGACGCTGGAGAAAGATTCTACAGGAATGAACTCCAGTCCCACACCATCTGTGGAAGTCGAATTTGTGAAGTTGAAAGCCCAGAACACGGGTTTCCGCATAAATTTCGCGGTTAATGAGTAGGATATTCAATGCAATCTGATGCTTGGGTGTATAAAAGGCGTGCGGATTGCGACATGGGCATGTTCCGAATACTAGTTCGTATACTTTCAAACGTAGCTCGATTGGGAGACGAAACAACATTTCAACTCGGACATGTACCAGTGGAGTAAAGGGGATTTCGATATATGAACCAAATGCGGTTTTTTGGAAGTGATCGCTAAAATTGAATAAGTTAGACGCTTTCAAAACGGTGAATGTATCCTCATTAAATCCAAGTCCAGCGTTTTCTTCCAGTAGGCCTACGTCCCTGATCTTGCTATCAAACTAGCCAGTAACAGGCCGCTTTGGCCAGGAATTTTTACTAACGCGGCTTAGCTGGTTGAGGCACGTGTCAAGCTGACTCATATCTGGTTTGAACTTGGGTAGGCCTCGGGTTCTAGACCCTTGTATTATTACCGTGTACATACACAACCGGTAATTTACACTCAATCCATATCAAGCTTGGCGTATCATGTGATTAGGGTTTGAATGAGTATCTCTCTTCCTTTGACATGGAAGGCAAAAAAGGTCATCACGGTACCACTTGACACCAGAGATGCGACCCGCGTCAAGAGAATTAGCCAGAGCCTCGAAGAAAGCCCGAGACAATTCCACGGATTTATTGTCACACCCCATGCACTTGTCGACAACTGTACCAATTTTGGTAATGCAGTTGCAAGAGATAGTCACAGATCTACCACAATCAGAGTCGGTCATGATACCATGAGGAAGAGCCAGGACAAGCTCAGTCAGACTATTGTTAGTTGTACCACAGGTACTAGGATTGGAAGCTGTGGTGGCGGTATCGTAGTATATGATATCACTAGTGTAAGGTGCTCTCTCAGAGCAAGCACTATTATAGTCAGAGCTGATTTGGGTGACAGAGATGGGGGACACGATAGCCGCCAAAGTAGCGGGCAGGCTTGAGAAATACGCTATATCTGTCTTGACAAGATCCTTAGTGCTAGTGCTTGCGGGCGACTACAGAGTAGGGTTAAGGGTAGTGATAGAGGTAGAGATGAGCGTATTGTCTTCCTAGAGGATCTGGCCACCGCCAGCGGAAGTAGTCTCACTAGGGGGAAGAGTAGTGGAGACGGTCTTCTATACATCGACGCATTCATTAACAACGCCCGCAAGGCTAGGGATAGTAAGAAGAGCGCCTACAAGTACAATATTTGAAATGACCGAGCCTATTAAGTGGTTGAGATTTCTGGGGATTAGAGGCACTCTAATAGTGCGAGGGATAATATCCACCTCGTTTAGTAGGGAATTAAGCTTTTTACCAGGATCAAATCAATAGGAAAAGGCCCTAAGCACAGATTCAAAAATTGGTTGCTATAATTTGAAAATAGCTATTGGCCCTAAACGTGAATTCTCTTTTATGATTCAATTCTTCTAAATTAATACCCCGGGGAACAAATCGGACCGAGACGATCTTGTGCTACGCCTTGCGTAGTGATTTACCGCGTAATCTTAGATCCTTAGATGCTCGGCGTTACAAAATTGAAGTCCCACGATCTACTGTTTCCGGGAATGCCCTAGTATCATAATTGCACTTCGCCGTGCCGAAGGACTATAGTATAGAGATTTTCTATATAAACCTTAGTGGTAGCTCCTAATGTGTTACTATAAAGAACTATATCTTCGTGTTCTTAATGCGTAGGGCCGGATCACTAATAAAATGGTTCATCTAAGAGGGTTAAATATAGAACATATTATTGCGCGGGAAGATATTTCTACCCTTACCGGATTAACGAAGTACTATATTTATCGAGACATATCCTCCTGTCGGAAGAAGTAAAGACGATATATCTATACTCGGTATACGTAACCTTACGCTAAACTACGAATCCCACCGTACGGGATTCATATCTACAACAATCAATCTACTTTTTGCTTTTAGAGCATACATACTATCTACTTAGGAATGTACATAGTACCTATATAAGGATACCAACAGTATTACTATAGAAAGCGAGATTCTAAGGCTTCAAGAACTCGTATCGCTAGCGGTCACTATATCCTTGATTTAGGAAACTAATATTTAGTAATAACCGCGCGTTTTCATCTTGACTCTAGCCGTAGTCTAGCCGGTAGGCATATTTCTCTATCTACCATTTACTCTAACCAGACTTTCACGTCCACCAGTCATACAGTAGTCTCGGAGGAAAAGCTGCTTAGCAATTTAATTCCCTCTCACGTCTCTCTTATTACGCCTTCAACTAGCTATCTTAGCTCGCCCAAGATAGTTTGCGTGTCCCATCGCCCGAGTCTGATTTTATAGATAGAATCATAATAATTCCCTCTATCGAGACTTATATCTAGCTAGTTAATAGCCTCTCTATCGAGTATTTGAGTACCGAGTTAGAATTTTATT